CACGTGTCCCATCCTGCACACACACACACACACACACACACGTCCCATCCTGCACACACACACACACACACACGTGTCCCATCCTGCACACACACACACACACACACACACACACAGGCACGCACACGCACACACACACACACACACACACACACACATCCACACACACACACACACACACACACACACACACACACACACGTGTCCCATCCTGCACACACACACACACACACACACACACACACACACACGTGTCCCATCCTGCACACACACACACACACGTGTCCCATCCTGCACACACACACACACACACACACATGTCCTATCCTGCACACACACACACACACACACACGTGTCCCACCCTGCACACACACACACACACACACGTGTCCCAGCCAGGCCGTACCTGCGCAGCGCAGCCTCCCCCTGCTCCTCGCTGAGCTCATCCTCACTGAAGAGGCTGTTGGCGCGCAGGGACCGCGGTCCCCGGGGCTCGGCCTCCTCCTGCGGGGACACGCGTGGGAGCCCCCCAATGCTCCAAGCCCTCTGCTGCGGCCAGGGCAGCCCGGGCGGTGCTGAGCAGCCCCCGGCCCCGCTGCGGTGCGGTGCTGCAGGGGGACCCGCACGCAGCACGTGCGGGATGCAGGCAGCTGCAGGGATGCTCTGGGCGCTCGGCGGGGCAGGGACCCCGCTCTGCACACTGCATGGGTGCTCCCCAGCACCTCCAAAGCAGCCCGGCACCAGCGCTTCTCCCCCGGGAATGGGCACCCTGCTCCCGTGGGATGGGGCAGGCTGAGAGCTGGGACCACAGAACCGCGTGGAGAAGAGAAGGCTCCTGAAGGGGAGAGCTGAGAGCAGCTCCAGGGCCTGAAGGGGCTGCAGGGAAGCTGGAGAGGGGCTTGGGACAGGGGATGGAGGGATGGGATGAGGAGTACTGGCTTCAGCCTGGCAGAGGGAAGAGTTAGATGGGACATGGGGATGAAGCTCTTCCCTGGGAGGGTGCTGAGGCGCTGGCACAGGGTGCCCAGAGAAGCTGTGGCTGCCCCATCCCTGGCAGTGCTCAAGGCCAGGTTGGACACAGGGGCTTGGAGCAAGCTGCTCTATGGAAGGGGTCCCTGCCCGTGGCAGGGGCTGGAGCTGGAGGGGCTTTAAGCTCCCTTCATCCCAAGCCATTCCATGACTCCAGGACCAACCTTCTCGGCCATCTCCCTCACGGCTCCACTTAATTCCTCCTCCGAGGCCGAGTCCTCGTAGTCCGAGTCATCTGCAGGAGCAGAGGGAAGATGCTGGGATGGAGCCAGGGGTCCTGCACCCCCTGCCCGTCCCAGCCTGCACGGGGCTGCGCCAGCGCTGGATGGTGCCCCTGCCCTTGGCAAACCCCGGCTCCAGGGCAACAATGGGGGCTTTATCCGGAGCCTGGAGAAGAGCTGGGAAGGGCAAAGTCCCACCGGTGGCAATGGCACAACCGCCACGGCACCACCGGGACGGGACTTTGGCACCAGCCCTGCTCTTGTGCCCCTGCCCAGGGGAAGGGCCGAGGATCCCCCTGTACTCACCGAACTGGGGCACGAAGGGGACGGTGGCCTTGGGGGGCGGCTCCGGCGGCAGCGGTGCCGGGGGCTTGGAGCGGGGTAGGAGCAGCGGTGGGGATGGGGGGCACGGGGGGGCACCAGGGGGTCTCTCGGCGATGGGGACCCCCTCCTTGGCAGGGGTGCTATGGAGAGAGGAGCAAACCTGGAGCAGCCCAAGCCTCCCCTTCCCAACCCTGGCGCATCACGAGATGGGGCGAGAAGACCCCACCGCATCCAGTACCCCAAGCGCCAGCAGATCCAAGCCCATGGACTGGGTCCCATCGACCTCCCTCAGGTTATCCCAGTGCTTTTCCAGCCTGGGGATAGCTTCCTGCCCCCAGCCTCACTTCCCCATCACCAGGGCTGCGGCTCCGGTGCCTCATCTGCCCCCCAAGGACACCAGAAGCCAACTATGGCATTGAAGGCCACATCCTGGAGCAGGTTTGATGCTCTCCTGCTGCGTCCCCAGCTGGATCTGGGGTGCCCCAAGCAGGATGGGGGGAACTGGGGGGCTCCCTGCCTACCCAGGGCCCTACAGTGGGCTGGGAAGCAGGGATCCCGGTAAGAAGATGGGATCAAGGAGCTGGGAGCTTGATGCCAGGGGTCAACCCTCGGAGATGGAGCCTTGGGGCTCTCCTGGGTTGAGAACCCCAGACCTTGGCCAGAGGGAGCCCAGGGACCCTCCTCGTGCCCACGGGCTGCTCCTGCCTCCCGCTCTCCACTCAATTCCTGCTTCCCCACCATGAACAGAAGCCATGGGATTTATGGAGCTGGTTTTAGGGCAGGAAGCGGAGAGGAAGCTTCCTGAGGAGATAAAAGGATGCGGGACCCGACTGAGCAGGGAGGGGGCTGAGGAGGGAGGCAGAGCCCCACCGCGAGCCCCTCACCATGGAACCACCATGGAACGGGGTGGGTTGCAGGGACCCCAAAGCGCATCCGGCCCCAAGCCCTGCCCTGGGCACGCTGGTGCTGAAGCCACCATCCCCATCCCCGCTGTGCCCCACACCGGCCCCAGGGCGCCCACGGCCACGTCACAGCCCAGCACCGCCACCAGCACCCCTGTGCTGGTCCCTGGGCTCCCATGGGCGGCAGGGCTGGTGCATGGGAGCAGGATGGGAACGGGCAGCGCTGGTGCTGCTCTGGGACACGCTGCCCTCCTTTCCCAGCAGCCATCGCTGTGGGAACCAGCCGCAGCCACGCATCCATTAGGGAATGGTGGTTGGGAATGCGGGCACGGAGCGGCCACACAGCCCAGGCAGCGGCTGGTGGCACCCAGGGACAGGAGGTGACAACAGAGCACAATGGGGTCTGCGCATTGAGGGCCACACTGGTGCTGTCCTCGTGGCCCCCCCATGGGGGCTCCGTCACCCCTGCACCCCAAAGCCAAACCCCAGCACCCGGGGCTCACAGGGATGTGCCTCTGCCATCAAGACATCGCCTTCCGGGGGGGCTCCTCTGCACCCATAGCAGCATCACCCCATTACTGAGGTGTGGACACGAGTACCCAGCACTGCGACCCCAGCAGGGCAAGCATCACCATCACCTCGAACAGGGGCAAGCATCACCCCAACAAGGGCAAGCATCACCCCAGCATGGGCAACCATCACCTCCAACAGGGGCAACCATCACCTCCAACACGGGCATCACCCCAACAAGGGCAAGCATCACCCCAACAAGGGCAAGCATCATCCCAGCAAGGGCAACCATCACCTCCAATATGGGCAAGCATCACCCCAACATGGGCAACCATCACCTCCAACAGGGGCAACCATCACCTCCAACAGGGGCAACCATCACCTCCAATATGGGCAACCATCACCTCCAACATGGGCAAGCATCACCCCAACAAGGGCAAGCATCTCTCCAACAGAGGCAACCGTCACCTCCAACATGGGCAACCATCACCCCAACAGGGGCAACCATCACCTCCAACATGGGCAACCATCACCCCAACATTGGCAACCATCACCCCAACAGGGGCAACCATCACCTCCAACATGGGCAACCATCACCTCGAACAGGGGCAACCATCACCCCATAACGGGCAACCATCACCTCGAACAGGGGCAACCATCACCCCAACACGAACAACCATCACCCCAACAGGGGCAACCATCACCCCAACACAGACAACCATCACCCCAACAGGGGCAACCATCACCTCCAACATTGGCAACCATCACCCCAACATTGGCAACCATCACCCCAACAGGGGCAACCATCACCTCCAACATGGGCAACCATCACCTCGAACAGGGGCAACCATCACCCCAACACGAACAACCATCACCCCAACAGGGGCAACCATCACCTCCAACATGGGCAACCATCACCTCGAACAGGGGCAACCATCACCCCAACACGAACAACCATCACCCCAACACGGGCAACCATCACCTCGAACAGGGGCAACCATCACCCCAACACGAACAACCATCACCCCAACAGGGGCAACTATCACCCCAACACAGACAACCATCACCCCAACAGGGGCAACCATCACCTCCAACAGGGGCAACCATCACCCCAACAGGGGCAACCATCACCTCCAACAGGGGCAACTATCACCTCGAACAGGGGCAACCATCACCTCCAACAGGGGCAACCATCACCCCAACACGGACAACCATCACCCCAACATTGGCAACCATCACCCCAACACGGACAACCATCACCCCAACATGGGCAACCACCACCCCAACATGGACAACCATCACCCCAACAGGGGCAACCACCACCCCAACAGGGGCAACCATCACCCCAACACTGGCAACCATCACCCCAACACGAACAACCATCACCCCAACATTGGCAACCATCACCCCACTGCTCTCTGCCCCTGTTCACCCCATTCCATGGGGGGAGCTCTGTGGCACCCACCGAGGACACGTCCCTGTGCCCCCCCACATGGGCCACGTCCCCGTGGCCGAGCGCCCAGCGCCGAGGCCACGCGATGGAGCAGGGAGGACCCAGCCCCGCGGTGCCGGTGCCTGCGCCCGAGGGGACGGCGGCACCCAGGGACCTGCTCCCGCAGCCGCTCCCGTCCCACGCAAGGGCAGCGAACGGGGCTGCTCCCTGGGCACCCCCCCCCAACCCAAACCCCCGGTCCCCTCGGTGCATCCCGCACCCACCGCGGGGCCGCGGTACCCGGTACCTGCGCGAGCCCCCGGGGCCCGGATGCGGCGCGGTCCGGGGATGCGGAGGGACCGGAGCTCTCGTCACCCCCCGGCACTTCCTGCGCCACCGAAACTTCCTGCACCGGCCGCGGCCCCAGCCGGACGGGAGCCACTGCGGCCAACGGTGGCCATTGGTGGCCATTGGTGGCCATTGGTGGCACTGGTGGCACTGGTGGCACCGCGGAGCTCCCGGCCAGGCCAGGGCCGGCAGCGGGTCCAAGGGGGGGGGGGCTTGGGGACCACCTCGGTGCAGAAGGGATGGGGACGGGCTTTGGGGAGCGATCGGAGCCGGGGGGCCGTGGGGATGGGTGTGTGCCCACCCATGGGTGCCATCCCCCCGCTATGGGACACACACCCCCCAGCAGCACATCCCGGGGGGGTCCTTGGGGGGTCCCTCACACCGCATCGCACCTCACACAGGGAGGGTGCTCGCACCCAAAGGGTCCTCTCCCCTCCCCATAATCAGACCCCACTCCCCCCCCCTCACCCCCAGCTCCGCAGGGCAGGGTTTTGGGGTGCAAGGTGGGGGCAGCATTTTGGGGGGTTCCTTTTGCTGCAGCAGCAGCCTCGGTGCTGGAGGATGCTGCAGCGGGCGGGGGGGGACACACGAGGCAGGATGAGCCCCGACCTGCCCTCAGCTCATCCGGCCACATCAGCTTCCCCCCCCCCGGCTGCGGTTCGCTGCCTGCCCGCATGGGGTGTAACGAGTTCCTCGGGCCTCAGCGCTGCCAGGACCTGGGGATGGGGGGGGATAAAGGAACCCCCACCCCATGCTGGGGTCTCCCAAGAGGGGATGGGGCAAAGGGGGGGTGTCCCTGGGGTGACCCCCGCACACAAACAGGGACAATGCGACACTAGAGGGCATTGCTGGGCAAGAGAAGCCACTGCTGCTTGGGTACCCTAAATGTGCTGGCAGGTACCCCAAAGGGATGCGCAGGGGGTACCCCACATGTGCTAGGGCTTGGGGTACCCCACGGGATGTGATGGGGTCTGCGGGGGGTACCCAAGGAGGTGTGTTGTGGCTGGGGGTAGCCCAGGGGTATGTGTTGGGATCTGGGGGTGTGGGTACCCCAGAAGTTGTATTAGGATCGGGGGAGATGTGGGTACCCCCAACGGGATGTGCTGGGGGTACCCCAGGGACATGTGCTGGAGCTGGAGGTACCCCTGGAATAATGGCTGGGGTTTGGTGGTACCCCAGGGATATGTGATGGGGGTACCCCAGGACATGTGCTGGGGGGTACCCGAGGGGGATGTGGTGAGGTTTGGGAGGGTGCCTCCCCCCCGGCCAACCCCATGCCCGCACCCAACGGTCCCCGCACCACCACAGCAGCCCCCCCACGGCTCCCCACACCCCCCGTGTGTCACCGCCCCCCTGCACCCCCTTTACCTCCTGTGGGACGCGGCCCTGGGGGGCAGCTCCGGGGGGGCCTGCGGGGCCTGGCCCTTGGCTTCCAGCTGGTGCCGCTTGGCCGGCAGCGGCGGCAGGGGGGGTCTCAGCGGGGGCCTCGTGGTGCCGGGCGGTGGGGAGGCCCCTCTGGGTGCTGGGGGGGCGCTGGGAGGGGGCTCGGGGCTGCCCCCCTTTAGCGATGCCGAGAACTTGAGTGGGGGGCGGCAGCCGACCCTGGGCGGGATGGGCGGGGGGTGATGGGTGAGGCTGGCGCCTTGGTCCAGCTCCATCAGCAGGGAACGGGGCTCGGGATGCTCCTGGGGATGCTCCTGGGGATGCTCCCGGGGATGCTCCCGGGGATGCTCCTGGGGATGCTCCTGGGGATGCTCCCGGGGATGCTCCTGGGGATGCTCCTGGGGATGCTCCCGGGGATGCTCCTGGGGATGCTCCCGGGGATGCTCCTGGGGATGCTCCCGGGGATGCTCCTGGGGATGCTCCCGGGGATGCTCCTGGGGATGCTCCCGGGGATGCTCCTGGGGATGCTCGGGTGCCGCCGCGGTGCTCATGCGGAAAACGTGCCTCTTCATGGGCACAGGCTTCGGGGCGGGGGCCCCGGGGGGGGTCCCTTCAGCAAAGGCTTTCTGCAGCCCCAGCAGGATGCGGCGGCGGTGGCCGGGCAGGAGCACCCCGAGCTGGGTCAGGCTCTGCTCCGTCAGCGCCCGGCAGTCCCGCACCGTGAGCAGCTCCCTCCGCTGGAAGCAGCCCGCGTACTGCTCAAGGTGCAGGGCGGCCAGCCAGGAGGCCACGGGCAGGGACCCCTCCTCTTCCATGGTGGGGGCCGGCGGCAGAGCCCCCGCGGTGCTCAGAGCATCCCCTGCGCGCGGCGAGGCTCAGGATGCATCAGGATCTAGGGATGGAGACAGCAGGGGTCAGGATCGGTCCTGAGCTGAGGGAACACGGGCCCTGGGCTAACGTTACCCCCTGGGTTTGGAGGGGACCGAGGGGGATGCAGGGGTGTGGGAATGCTGGAGGATCCTGGGTGAGGTGTCTAAATGTCGGTGTCGTCCCCACTGAGGCTCAACAGACCACCAGAAGCACCACCAGCACCAGCACTATGAGGTCACAGTGCGCTCCCGGGTCTCAGCATCCCACCATGTGCAATGGCTGGGTTGGTGTGGGGTGACCATAGACCCCCCCAAAGCCATGGGGTGTCCCAGCACATGCAATGGGCAGGCTGGTGTGGGGTGGCTGCAAACCCCCCCCAACCAGACCCCATGGCAAGAAGCAGCCAGCAGAATCCACTGGGAACCGTGGTGTCCCGGAGGATGCTCGGGTAATTAAGGGATAATCGATAGGGAACGGAGATGATGCATCAGGAGCTGCAGAGCTGCTGCAGATGGGAGGCAGCTCCTGCTCTCCCTGCTCCCAGCCTCTGCCTGAGTGAGCCAGGATGGGCAGAGAGACACGGACAGATGGATGGGTGCAGGAGATGCACCTCAGAGCCTCTGCATGGCAGTGGGATGCTGAGGGGAGGCACCGTGGCAGTGGGATGCCGAGAGGAGGCACCATGGCAATGGGATGCTGAGAGGAGGCACCGTGGCATTGGGATGCTGAGCGGAGGCACCGTGGCAGTGGGATGCTGAGAGGAGGCACCGTGGCAATGGGATGCTGAGGGGAGGCACCGTGGCATTGGGATGCTGAGGGGAGGCACCGTGGCATTGGGATGCTGAGGGGAGGCACCGTGGCAATGGGATGCTGAGGGGAGGCACCGTGGCATTGGGATGCTGAGCTGAGGCACCGTGGCAATGGGATGCTGAGCGGAGGCACCGTGGCAGTGGGATGCTGAGGGGAGGCACCGTGGCAATGGGATGCTGAGTGGAGGCACCGTGGCAGTGGGATGCTGTCCCCAGCCCCATCAAACCCATGGGTCACAAAGTACCTCCCAAGCTCCAGTAGAGCAGCACAAGCTCACTCTGGTCCTCAGTGGAGCTTAAATCTCTCTTCTGGCAGGTCCCTTGGCCTGGCCCTACATCCCTTGTCCCAAGCCCCTCTCCAGCTTCCCTGCAGCCCCTTCAGGCACTGGAGCTGCTCTCAGGTCTCCCCTTAAGGAGCCTTCTCCTCTCCAGGCTGGACCCCAGCTCCCAGCCCGGCGCTGCCCCCATCACGCCGCTGATTTTGGCTGTTTCAGAGCTGCTCCAGAGGACCCCAAGCATTTCCTGGTGCTGCCCATGCCATCGGCCCATGCGGGTCACGCTGCCTCTGACTCAGGCACTTCCCTCACTTGCGGTTTCGGTCGCCCCAGCCAATGGCGCATCCTCTGCCCGAGATAGCGGGGCTCATCCCAGGGGATTGGCCTGAAACCCACGTGTGCCAAGGAAGGAGCCTGAGCCGAGCGGCACCAGTGCAGTCCCACGTCCCCACCGCTCCCATCAGACCCAACGAGGAGCCAGAAGTCCCTTGAAGCAGCACAGAGCCAGGGTGGACCCATATCCATAGGAGCCATGCAGCCGCATTCCGGCCCTTTCCGCCTCCCACCTCCAGACCCGACTCGTGCATCATCAAACCAGGGGAGTGACAGCACCGGTGACATCAGTGTCACAGGACATCCAGCGCTGTCACCCCTTGGGCCACTGCCTACAGGAGACGTGTCCTATGGATATGGAGTCCCACATGGGTCCTATGGATATGGAGTCCCACATGGGTCCTATGGATATGGAGTCCCACATGGGTCCTGTGGATATGGAGTCCCACATGGGTCCTATGGATATGGAGTCCCACATGGGTCCTATGGGTATGGAGTCCCACATGGGTCCTATGGGTATGGAGTCCCACATGGGTCCTATGGGTATGGAGTCCCACATGGGTCCTGTGGATATGGAGTCCCACATGTGTCCTATGGATATGGAGTCCCACATGGGTCCTATGGATATGGAGTCCCACATGTGTCCTATGGATATGGAGTCCCACATGGGTCCTATGGGTATGGAGTCCCATATGTGTCCTATGGATATGGAGTCCCACATGGGTCCTATGGGTATGGAGTCCCACATGTGTCCTGTGGATATGGAGTCCCACATGGGTCCTATGGATATGGAGTCCCACATGGGTCCTATGGATATGGAGTCCCACATGTGTCCTGTGGATATGGAGTCCCACATGGGTCCTATGGATATGGAGTCCCACATGTGTCCTATGGATATAGAGTCCCACATGGGTCCTATGGATATGGAGTCCCACATGGGTCCTATGGATATGGAGTCCCACATGGGTCCTATGGATATGGAGTCCCATATGTGTCCTATGGATATGGAGTCCCACATGTGTCCTGTGGATATGGAGTCCCACATGGGTCCTATGGATATGGAGTCCCACATGGGTTCTATGGGTGTGGAGTCCCACATGGGTCCTGTGGGTATGGAGTCCCACATGGGTCCTATGGATGTGGAGTCCCACATGGGTCCTATGGATATGGACTCCCACATGGGTCCTATGGATATGGAGTCCCACATGGGTCCTATGGATATGGAGTCCCACATGTGTCCTGTGGATATGGAGTCCCACATGGGTCCTATGGATATGGAGTCCCATATGTGTCCTATGGATATGGAGTCCCACATGGGTCCTATGGATATGGAGTCCCACATGGGTCCTATGGGTATGGAGTCCCATATGTGTCCTATGGATATGGAGTCCCACATGGGTCCTATGGGTATGGAGTCCCACATGTGTCCTGTGGATATGGAGTCCCACATGGGTCCGGTGGATATGGAGTCCCATATGTGTCCTATGGATATGGAGTCCCACATGGGTCCGGTGGATATGGAGTCCCACATGTGTCCTATGGATATGGAGTCCCACATGGGTCCTGTGGATATGGAGTCCCATATGTGTCCTATGGATATGGAGTCCCACACGGGTCCTATGGATACGGAGTCCCACACGTGTCCTATGGATATGGAGTCCCACACGGGTCCTATGGGTATGGGGTCCCACATGGGTCCTATGGATATGGACTCCCACATGGGTCCTATGGATACGGACTCCCACATGGGTCCTATGGATACGGACTCCCACATGGGTCCTATGGATATGGAGTCCCACACGGGTCCCCTCCCGGGAAGAGCCATGGAGTATCCCCATTGCCTCCAGTGATGGCGACCCCAGGGCTGTGCCAAGCTCTTCGCCCCTGGAAATGATCCAACGGGATCCTGCCGTGTTCCCAGCTCCCATCGTTTATCATTTAACCTCTACCCGAGAGAGGAGGAAATTCCAGGAGCAAAATCCACCTGGAGAAACGCCCTATCCCAGCTGGCTGATGGGAATGGGGGAGTCACCCCAGCCCGGCCCCCCAGCCGCACCTTTCAGCTCTCAAATCCCCTTGTGCTTATCCACCACATTCCTGGATTAGGGAATGCCGCCAGGGTTGTTCTGTAAGAGCCTTAAGGGCTGTAAGAGTGGTGTGACGAGGGGCAGGGACGGCTGGATCTCAGGGGGCCAAAACACACCTTGGGGTGAAAATAGGGCTGGAGCCCCCCATCCCAATGCTCATCTCAGGGTCCCCATGCTGGGTTTGGAGGATATGGGGATGGTCCCCATTGTCCCCATGGGTGGGACCGAGGGGCTGAGCTCTCACACAGGGGTGCTGTGGCTTTGCTGGGGGGATTCACATCCACCCCATCCTCTCCAATCCCACCCAGATGCCTTCAGCTCAGCTGAGCATCGCCCTGAGCTGCTGAGCACCGCCACGGCACCGGGGACGCGCTCAGCATCCCTGTGCCCATCCTTAGGGACACCCTGCACCCAGGCCCCCCTTGCAGGGTGGATTCCAACGGGAAAACAGCCGTGTCCTGCCCTCCACAGCCACCTCAGCACTGACCCCGGCCCATGCCAGAGCTGTGCCCGGCACCACCAGGGTGAAGAACCAGCCCTGGCACCCAGCGTGCACCCAGCACCGCGCCACGGCACCGGGTGCTTTGGGCAGGGCCGGTTGGGGCACCAGTGGCAGAGCAGCAGCGGGTGGCTCTGGAGGCCCCCAGGCTCAGGGCAGCGCCGTCCCCAGGCACCATCCAGCCAAACTGAGCCCTTCCCCGCTCATCCCTCCAAGGAAACCCAGCGCTGATGGAGGGAAACCAGCCCAGGAACCCACCAGGGGCTCCACAACCGCCCCATGGCTCCAATCCCCACCCCCGGAATTCCCCTTTCCCAAAGCCCGGGGCTCGCTCATGGAAGAGACCCGTTGGAGAGGACCAAGGGCTCGGGGTGATGGGGACCTGTGCCCACCCAAGGACCTCCCCAACGCCCCCCCAAGCCCGGGGCAACGGGAGCTGCCGGAAGGCTGCAATGGGGCTGCGAGCCCGCGGCAGTGTTGTAATAACCGGGGGCCCGGCTCCGCACCGACCGCAGCCACGGCGGAGCAGGAGGGAGCTGGGGCCGAGCCGTGGGGCAGGGCTGAGGTGAGAGAGGAAGGAGGGGACGGGGAGGGGGTCCCCGGGATGCTGTGGAGGGGGAGCGGGCACCGGGATCGGTGTCCCCAGTGCGGCGGCAGGATGCGGGAGAGGGGCTTCGGGCACGGGATGCAGGGCCAGGACAAAGGGAATGGCTTGAACCTGCCCCAGGGGAGACTGAGCTGAGCTCTTAGGCAGAAGCTCTTCCCTGGGAGGGTGCTGAGGCGCTGGCACAGGGTGCCCAGAGAAGCTGTGGCTGCCCCATCCCTGGCAGTGCTCAAGGCCAGGTTGGACACAGGGGCTTGGAGCAAGCTGCTCTATGGAAGGGGTCCCTGCCCGTGGGAGCTGGAGGAGCTTTAGGGTCCCTTCGTCCCAACCCATCCCAATCCCAGCCTGGCCCAGGAGCCCAGCACCCACCTGCCTGGCGCCGCCGCGTCCAGCACCGCTCCGCACCCTCCCGGTGAAACAGAAAGCACCCAAAAGCAGAAGCGGGGCCCCGGGATGGCACCCAAACGCCTCCCACCGAAACCAGGCAGCCCCTGCTCGCCGCGGCGCACAGCGCTGGCCTTGGGAGGATGAAGCTGTTTCACTTTCAAGTTCTCACAGTGAAGGCACGAATGCAAATAGCATCCAACCCCCCTGCAGCACCCAGGGAGCAAGTTACGTCCTGCAAAGCCGTCAGGATCCAGGGTGGGAATGCTCCTCCAGAGCCTGCTCCTGCTGCCAGGGATCCCAATCTCAAAGGGCTTCGTGTTTAAGCAGTCACGATGGTGGCCCAGGGCTGCGGGCTGCTGGGGCTGTTCTGCTGCTCCCACACCCTGCTCCAGCCGTGGGGCCATGGTGGGAATTGCCTGAGGGTGGAAGTGTGGGGTGCGCATGGAGGGAAGGCAGCGGGGGAGAACCCTGGGAGATGAGGCAGCTCCATCCCCTGTCCCGGCCATGGGCAGCTCATGGGGTGCTCCACAGAGTCATGGAATGGTTTGGGATGAAGGGACCTCAAAGCTCATCCAGTTCCAACCCCCTGCCACGGGCAGGGATGCCTGCCACTAGAGCAGCTTGCTCCAAGCCCCTTCCAAGACATTACCCCTTGTCCCAAGCCCCTCTCCAGCTTTCCTGCAGCCCCTTCAGGCACTGGAGCTGCTCTCAGGTCTCCCCTTCAGGAGCCTTCTCTTCTCCAGGCTGCCCCAGCCCAGCTCTCTCAGCCTGGCTCCAGGGCAGAGCTGCTCCAGCCCTCGCAGCAGCTCCACATCCTCCTCAGGCTGCTCCATCCATCTCCCCCATCCCTCTTTTCCCCCTTCTCCAACAGGAGCAGGAGGAAGGTGATGAGGATGGTGCGGAGCAGGAACATGAGGAGGTCACAGGGCAGCAAACAGAGGGTTCCTCATTCCTCCAGGGTCCTCCCCGTGCTTCCCTTCTCCCCCTGGAAGTAAAACCCAGGAAGGTGAAGCGGTCCCTGGACTGCAGCACGAACCGCAGCTCCCGGCGCCCCCTCCTGGGGCATCACCACCAGAAACGGGGCAAAACTGGCCAGAAATGGGCAAATCCAGCAAAAACGGGGACAAATCCGGAGCTGCTGCCCCTGTCCCTGCATGCAGCCGGAGCCCCGCAGCTCCTGACACACTTCCTGCAAGGAAAATAGGTCAGGAAGCGCTCCCCGGCCCCCCCGTGCCAGCGCTTGGGACTGAACCCAACCTCCGGGGGTCCCTCAATGCCGGGGGGGGCTTTGCCATCCCCTCTGCCCCCCAAACCTCCTCCTCCTCCTCGGGGTGCGTTAGCACCCATGGGTGCCCCAGCTCGATGGGTGCAGCCCCCCCATCAGCAGCAGGTTCCGGGTGTCCGGTGCCACCCCGGCCCCCCATTGGGTGCTCCAAACCACCCCGTCAGCACCCAAAGCCCCTGCTGCGCGGTGACGGAGCAACATTCCCGAGGGCTGGATGGACCTGCTGGGGGGGGGGGGGGGGGGATGTGGGGCACGGAGCGGTGCAGAAATCCAATGGGATTCTGAATATCCCACGGCTGATGGAGCCGCTGCCAGGCATGGAAAACAACCGGCAGCTCTCGCAGGAGCTGGATCCCGGCGCCGGCATCCCGGGGTATCCCGATGGGATCACGGCCCCCCCACCCCGCAGCGCCCATCCTGGGGGAGCGCCGCTGCTCACATTGCACCCACTGCAGCCCCCCCCCAAGCGATGGGACCCCCCCTCCCATGGCCCCGGGACGCGGCGGCAGCGACACGGAGCCAACCTCGGCATTCCCGGAGGACAAAGCGGCCGCTGTCCCGCTGCAGCCGTGACGCCGGAGGAATTCCTGAGGCCGCGGCACTGGGGCCGGGAGGAGGAGGAGGAGGAGGAGGAAGGCGCTGGGTGCTATTGGGTGCTATTGGGCGCCGCTGGGTGCCGTCGGGTGCCGCTGGGTGCGTTGGGCGCCGCTGGCAGGGATCCCGGCGCTCTCTGCCCGTGCCCGGAGCCGGGTTTCCCAATGGAAAACAAACCCCGTGCCAGGGCCTCCGGGCGCTGCTCCCCCGGGATTTATCCCGGCACCGGATCCCCGGGGTTGGCCCTCAACAAACCCCCCCTCCCACCCCCGGGTGATGGAGCCCCGGTGAGCGCAGGGATACGGGATGGGGACGGGCTGCGGCCGGGACCGGAGCGGGCATGGGGGAGCTGGGAGTGGGCTGGGAAGTGCTGGGAGTGAGGTGGGGAGTGCTGAGGGGAGCAGGGGTGTACTGGGAATGAGCTTGGGTGTACTGGGAATGAGCTGGGAAGTGCTGGGAGTGAGGTGGAGTGTCCTGGATGAGATTGGGAATTCTGAGGGGAACAGGGGTGTACTGGGAATGAGCTTGGGTGTACTGGGAATGAGCTGGGAAGTGCTGGGAGTGAGGTGGGAAGTGCTGGGAGTGAGGTGGGGAGTGCTGAGGGGAGCAGGGGTGCCCTGGGAATGAGCTTGGGTGTACTGGGGATGAGCTGGGAAGGGCTGGGAGTGAGGTGGGGAGTGCTGGGAGTGAGGTGGGGAGTGCTGAGGGGAGCAGGGGTGTACTGGGAATGAGCTTGGGTGTACTGGGAATGAGCTGGGAAGGGCTGGGAGTGAGGTGGGAAGTGCTGGGAGTGAGCTGGGAAGTGCTGGGAGTGAGGTGGGAAGTGCTGGGAATGAGATGGGGAGTGCTGAGGGGAGCAGGGGTGTACTGGGAACGAGTTTGGGTGTACTGGGAATGAGCTGGGAAGTGCTGGGAGTGAGGTGGAGTGTGCTGGATGAGATTGGGAATCCTGAGGGGAACAGGGGTGCCCTGGGAATGAGCTTGGGTGTACTGGGGATGAGCTGGGAAGGGCTGGGAGTGAGGTGGGGAGTGCTGGGAGTGAGGTGGGGAGTGCTGAGGGGAGCAGGGGTGTACTGGGAATGAGCTTGGGTGTACTGGGAATGAGCTGGGAAGTGCTGGGAGTGAGGTGGGGAGTGCTGAGGGGAGCAGGGGTGTACTGGGAATGAGCTTGGGTGTACTGGGGATGAGCTGGGAAGTGCTGGGAGTGAGGTGGAGTGTGCTGGATGAGATTGGGAATCCTGAGGGGAACAGGGGTGTACTGGGGATGAGCTTGGGTGTACTGGGAATGAGCTGGGAAGTGCTGGGAGTGAGGTGGGGAGTGCTGGGAGTGAGGTGGGGAGTGCTGAGGGGAGCAGGGGTGTACTGGGAATGAGCTTGGGTGTACTGGGAATGAGCTGGGAAGTGCTGGGAGTGAGGTGGGGAGTGCTGAGGGTAGCAGGGGTGTACTGGGAATGAGCTTGGGTGTACTGGGAATGAGCTTGGGTGTACTGGGAATGAGCTGGGAAGTGCTGGGAGTGAGGTGGAGTGTGCGGGATGAGATTGGGAATCCTGAGGGGAACAGGGGTGTACTGGGAACGAGTTTGGGTGTACTGGGAATGAGCTTGAGTGTACTGGGAATGAGCTTGAGTGTACTGGGAATGAGCTGGAAAGTGCTGGGAGTGAGGTGGGAAGTGCTGGGAATGAGATGGGGAGTGCTGAGGGGAGCAGGGGTGTACTGGGAATAAGCTTGGGTGTACTGGGAATGAGCTGGGAAGTGCTGGGAGTGAGGTGGAGTGTGCTGGATGAGATTGGGAATCCTGAGGGGAACAGGGGTGCCCTGGGAATGAGCTTGGGTGTACTGGGGATGAGCTGGGAAGGGCTGGGAGTGAGGTGGGGAGTGCTGGGAGTGAGGTGGGGAGTGCTGAGGGGAGCAGGGGTGTACTGGGAATGAGCTTGGGTGTACTGGGAATGAGCTGGGAAGTGCTGGGAGTGAGGTGGGAAGTGCTGGGAGGGAGGTGGGGAGTGCTGAGGGGAGCAGGGGTGTACTGGGAATGAGCTTGGGTGTACTGGGGATGAACTTGGGTGTACTGGGGATGAGCTTGGGTGTACTGGGAATGAGCTGGGAAGTGCTGGGAGTGAGGTGGAGTGTGCTGGATGAGATTGGGAATCCTGAGGGGAACAGGGGTGTACTGGGAATGAGCTTGGGTGTACTGGGAATGAGCTGGGAAGTGCTGGGAGTGAGCTGGGAAGTGCTGGGAGTGAGGTGGGGAGTGCTGGGAATGAGATGGGGAGTGCTGAGGGGAGCAGGGGTGTACTGGGAATGAGCTTGAGTGTACTGGGAATGAGCTGGGAAGTGCTGGGAGTGAGGTGGAGTGTGCTGGATGAGATTGGGAATTCTGAGGGGAGCAGGGGTGTACTGGGAATGAGCTTGAGTGTACTGGGAATGAGCTGGAAAGTGCTGAGAGTGAACCGGGATATACTGGGAATGAGGTGGGGAGTGCTGATTGAGATGGGACGTGCTGGGGTCAGCTGGGGGAGAGATGGGGTTGAACTGGGCTATACTGGAATTGAGCTGGGTTATACTGGGGGAGCTGGGGTGTGGTTGGGGTGAACTGGAGTTTGCTGGGGGAAGCTGGGGCATCCTGGTGTTGAGCTGGGGCATCCTGGTGTTGAGCTGGGACATACTGGTGTTGAGCTGGGGCATCCTGGTGTTGAGCTGGGACATACCGGTGTTGAGCTGGGGCATACCGGTGTTGAGCTGGGACATACCGGTGTTGAGCTGGGACATACCGGTGTTGAGCTGGGACATACCGGTGTTGAGCTGGGACATACCGGTGTTGAGCTGGGGCATACCGGTGTTGAGCTGGGACATACCGGTGTTGAGCTGGGGCATACCGGTGTTGAGCTGGGACATACCGGTGTTGAGCTGGGACATACCGGTGTTGAGCTGGGGCATACCGGTGTTGAGCTGGGACATACCGGTGTTGAGCTGGGACATACCGGTGTTGAGCTGGGGCATACCGGTGTTGAGCTGGGACATACCGGTGTTGAGCTGGGGCATACCGGTGTTGAGCTGGGACATACCGGTGTTGAGCTGGGACATACCGGTGTTGAGCTGGGACATACTGGTGTTGAGCTGGGGCATCCTGGTGTTGAGCTGGGACATACCGGTGTTGAGCTGGGGCATACCGGTGTTGAGCTGGGACATACCGGTGTTGAGCTGGGGCATACCGGTGTTGAGCTGGGACATACCGGTGTTGAGCTGGGGCATACCGGTGTTGAGCTGGGACATACCGGTGTTGAGCGGTGTTGAGCTGGGCATACCGGTGTTGAGCTGGGGCATACCGGTGTTGAGCTGGGGCATACCGGTGTTGAGCTGGGACATACCGGTGTTGAGCTGGGACATACCGGTGTTGAGCTGGGACATACCGGTGTTGAGCTGGGACATACCGGTGTTGAGCTGGGGCATACCGGTGTTGAGCTGGGACATACCGGTGTTGAGCTGGGACATACCGGTGTTGAGCTGGGGCATACCGGTGTTGAGCTGGGACATACCGGTGTTGAGCTGGGGCATACCGGTGTTGAGCTGGGACATACCGGTGTTGAGCTGGGACATACCGGTGTTGAGCTGGGACATCCTGGTGTTGAGCTGGGACATACCGGTGTTGAGCTGGGACATACCGGTGTTGAGCTGGGACATCCTGGTGTTGAGCTGGGGCATCCTGGTGTTGAGCTGGGGCATCCTGGTGTTGAGCTGGGACATACCGGTGTTGAGTTGGGACATACCGGTGTTGAGCTGGGACATACCCGTGTTGAGCTGGGACACACCGGTGTTGAGCTGGGGCATACCGGTGTTGAGCTGGGACACACCGGTGTTGAGCTGGGACATACCGGTGTTGAGCTGGGACATACCGGTGTTGAGCTGGGACATACCGGTGTTGAGCTGGCACATACCGGTGTTGAGCTGGCACATACCGGTGTTGAGCTAGGACATACCGGTGTTGAGCTGGGGCATCCTGGTGTTGAGCTGGGACATACCGGTGTTGAGCTGGGACATCCTGGTGTTGAGCTGGGACATCCTGGTGTTGAGCTGGGACACACCGGTGTTGAGCTGGGACATACCGGTGTTGAGCTGGGACATACCGGTGTTGAGTTGGGACATACCGGTGTTGAGCTGGGGCATACCGGTGTTGAGCTGGGGCATACCGGTGTTGAGCTGGGACATACCGGTGTTGAGCTGGGACATACCGGTGTTGAGCTGGGACATACCGGTGTTGAGCTGGGACATACCGGTGTTGAGCTGGGACATCCTGGTGTTGAGCTGGGGCATACCGGTGTTGAGCTGGGGCATACCGGTGTTGAGTTGGGACATACCGGTGTTGAGCTGGGGCATCCTGGTGTTGAGCTGGGACATACCGGTGTTGAGCTGGGACATACCGGTGTTGAGCTGGGCAGCACTGGGCTGGATCACACCATATGAAGAGGGGCCAGAGCCCCCTCCGGGTGTATCTGCACCCCCAGTGCCGCCATTGCCCCCCAGTCCCAGCGGAGCCCCCGCTCCAAGCCGCTTCCATGGGGCCTGGTCCCGCTCCTGGCAACGGGAGCGGGGGAATTCCCGCGGGACTCCACACAAAAACCCCATTGTTGGCAGCCTCGGGGTTCCCCCCCCCCCGCCCCATCCCCCATTCCCCGCTCCTTGCATTTGGGATAACGCAGGGGGGTGGTTTGGGGGTGAAGCCCCCCCCATCCCGCCCCGCCGCAGGGACACCAGGGAGCAGGGGATGGATCCAGCTGGACCGTGGTCCCTGCAGCGTGCAGAGCAGAACCGGGGGGCGCAGACACCATGGGCACCCCATTGCAGCACCCCAACCTCAAGGGCTCTGGGTACCCCAAAACCTCGCAGACCCCAAACCCCCCCTTTGCACCCCAACCCCATCACTCCAGTGTGACAGATCCACCCCTGGTCCCCGCTGAGCTGCCTACAATGGGGGCATCCCACAATTGCCCCCCCCCCCACTTCAAACGGTGGCCCTTGCAAAGCCTTCTTGGGGTGCCCTCCCCACCATCCTCATCCTCATCGCTCCCCATCGCATCCCCCCTGTATCCCATTGCCCTGCCTCATCCCCATGGATCTGGGGGCCCCTGCTTGGGGGAACACTGGCTTTG